TTTTTTTTTTTGGGATACTAGACCAATGACAGTTACCCACAGTACTCGGCCACTTGGTTGTCCAGCTGAATCCCTCTGAAGACCCCACCCACCTTTCCTTTTATCATTTTTGCCCTGCCGCACCCCCAACCCCCTGTCCTACCCTGGTGTTAACCACCCGGGACCATCGCCCATTACCACATTGGCAGGGTGACCTGACTAGACAGTGGTCGCAGGCACCCGGGGTAACTAGAGAGACCTACTCCCCTGCTCAGCCCTGGTTGAAGCAGACGCCGTGCAAGCCCGATTGCACGGGGACTTCGGGAGTTAGGTATGAACATGCTACCACAGGTCTTCGTGAGGGTGCACAGTGTTACGTTGTATTACTAGAGTGTTCTATTGTGTTGTTAGTAGAGAGCTGGGGATCCTCCGTTCCCTCATATATCCCTGGAGCCCGTTCCGGCCCCGCGGTAAGGTGCAGTATCTCCTGACACTCCCGACACCCCGTACTGAGGAACTGCTATGCCAGCCTCAAACCCTAAGCTACGTACTAGGAGGATAGCCAACCCTAAGTCGTGAATCATGGACTGCATCTATTGACCCTGGAGAACCCTGTGTTGTATGATAAACTGTGAGAGCTGACAATCCTCCGTTCCCTCGTACGTCCCTGGAGCCCGTTCCGGCCCCGTGGTAAAGTGCAGTATACAACCCCGACATCCCGTTCTAAGGAACTGCTATGCCAGCCTCAGTCCTTGACTACGTACTAGGAGGATGACAAGCCCTAAGTCATAATCTGGTACCGAACACAGGATCTCATGTGAATCGTGCAAATGACCTATTAGTAACCTGTTGACATGTACTGTGAAGTAGTCTGTAGCTGTGCTCTGCTGGGCTCGAGTAAACCAGACTGTGCAAACCAACCAACAGTCGCGTGACCACCCATACACCAAGAACATCAGAATACCCTACCATCGCCCAGTCCCAACGTACCACAATTATGAGCTATCCCTTGGGTGGTGCGCAGGCAGTGTCTGTAATAGCTAACCTGCGTCATCCCAAGGGGGTGTGTGTCCAGCCGTGTGTCATTCTAACGCCCTGCCGGTGTCCCTGCGCAAGGCTGCTGATTTGAACCCGCAACCTCATACTACAATGCGCATTTCCATCCGGTGCTCTAACCACTGAGCTCAATTGTACGTGCAGATATCATTCCTTTCTTCTATTTAGGCGGTTTGACGGTGAGAACTATATTGCTGGGAGCACACGCCCACACAGCAAGCAAACTATTCCAAATACAAAACGGTCTACATATATACATCTTTCTTTTTTTTCCCCAAAAATCATCTGGATGACCAATTGGCCAACTGCTGAAGGGGGTGTCAGATGCCTGGTGGCTAGCCAACTGCTGAAGGGACTGTCATATGCCTGGAGGCAAGCCACCAGGCATATGACAGTCCCTTCAGCAGTTGGCCAATTGATCATCCAGATGATTTTTCTGTACAGGCCCCCTATAAGACGCCCTCCCTCTCTTACTCATCATTGATCAGTTGGCGAATTGATCATCCATATGATTTTTCTGTACAGGCCCCCTATGAGACTCCCTCCCACCCTTACGCATCATTACTGTCCCCGGCGCATCCCTTCCCAAGGTCCTACCTTAGGGGTGGACCCCACAGGCCGCTGAGGCCGGCGGCTGGAAAAGCAGTATGGCCACAAAAAACGGCCGACTGAGTCTGGAAAGCACTTGCCAGATTTCCTCAGGACCCCACCGCCGCTGTGAAAATGGGCACTTGAAATGACACTACGTCCCCGAAAAGGAAAACCCAAAGGCGTCCCTCCCAAATAGGTAAGTTCGGTAAGGACTGTCCATCACAAAACGGCCCCTGAACCGTCGATTGGACCACACTCTCATCTCCTCCGATGCCATGGGAAAACATGTCCCCCCCCCCCCCCTAGTCGGCTGGACGCCCTCTTTGGAAAAGGAATGCCGGAGCTTGGCCACAATTTTCCAGACCGCCGACCATGTAGAAACACCCCGTCAGCATTTCGGCAACCTCTTTCCATAACCAATTGGGTCCGGAAATGCCGTCCAGAATGACTCTCCATACCCGTTGTCGAGAGCATTGGACCCTCCCGCCCGCGTCGTGCAGGATTTGTGCAGGGCTTCTTCACGATGGAGCTTTTCGCCGCTTCCGCCGAGTGCGCCAGCCATACCTCTCGCGAACCCCTACGACATGATAGGGTCATGCGAGGTACAACTTACCTCCGCCCAAGGGGCTGTCACCACCCTTGGGCGGGCGCGCCGAGCTTCCTTGCGTGGAGACAGTGCTCCAGTGTGGCATGAGCAGGTGGTGTCGACCGGCCACAGTATGAACACATGGGGAAGAGTTGCTCTCACTTCTCCATGTCAGTTCTGCTGACCAACCAATCGGGGGTGGCAGCGGTGCAGGATCTCCCATTGCAACGACCGCAGGTTTGTGGACATGATGAGACCTTTAGGCTTCGGATGCAAGGTACCGGGTCATTACCGAAGTGATTGCTGGAGATTTTGGGCGGATGCGGCGTGATGGAAGCGCTGTTGCGCGCCCGATTGCCGTAGCAGGCTTGTGGGACATCGCGCGCAGATGTCGTTTGATATTTCTGTAGGATTACGTGGAAATGCCACGTGTCCTTACGGGACAGCGTTGGGTTGGTGCATGATTGGAGGAGAAATCGTGATTGAGAGCCATAGCCATTTTTTGTCCTCGAAGCAAAGACGATGCTCAACTCATGAGCGCTTTGTTTAATGATACAACATTGGGTCAACAAAAGTTGCTTCATCAGATTTGCTGACTTAAAGATTTCACGGTAGTCGACTAGTCGCAGTGGTGAGTTTCTGTGACGTCTATGACGATTGCCTACTCATAGGTCAGTTTTGCTTGATTTGGTGCAGACGGCGCGTGATAATCTCCATTGCTAGGTCAATGACGACTGGCTATTTACACTGCTCTGGGGATGGTGAATGACATTCCCCTTCGATAGGTCAGCGCCGTTCGTTTCGGCGGTGTGTGACATTCCCCATTGATAGGTCAGCGCTGGTTGATTTGCGATCCTCAATTGTTAGTCGATGTTGTTTGATTTGGTGGTTGTAGTAGGTCAATGAAGATTGACCACTCACACTGCTACGTCAACGATGTTGGTCTAGTGTATGTCGCTGAATTTCATGGCTGAGTTGAGTTGGTGGATATTTATTGGCTTCCTTCGAAGAGCGGTAAGCATCTGTTGACGGCGAGTGACACTTCGAGTGTCAGAGGTTTTCTATACCAGGACAAGATGGTGATTGTGCCAGAGTCGCTTTGGTCTTGAAATCATCATTGAATAAAGGACGGTAGGCAAAGRGWCTCGATTCCCTGTCCTTTARTGTCTGTCATCATTTGGCAATGCTAAACTGGGAAATCCAGAGCAACGAAGACCAGAGTGTTTAGTTTTGACGACAGAGGGTCATTGAGACCATGAGTGGTCGAGGGGGTCGATTTTAGTACACAAGATCG